CCACCTCCCAAAAAAAACTACCTTCACCTTACTTCATATGAGAAACACCTGCCAGAAACCAACCCAGATGAGTGTGCCAGAAGAGGACGCTGGGTGGCCATTTCCTAAGCGATCTTGTAAGAGGTAAGCAAGAAGAAAAAAATGCAGTAAGACATATCATTTAGAAGATCCTTATTTATTTTAAATGTCTATAAATAAATTAGGAAAAATATTCGATATCTGATTTATAGGGATTTCTATGTTTTAAATGGAAAAGTTACAGGGTCATGAACATAGCTTAACTCTATGCTGGTAAAAGTAAACCCTCCCTTACATATGTGTCCATGTATAAGCAATGAGGAAGGATGCAAAAAATTTATTACTCTTGTTCACCTCAGGTGGAAAGATGACTTTGATTTTATACATTTTGTACCATATCCAGATTTAAAAGCATTTATTCCTTGTGAGTCCTGGAACAGCATCAACATTGAAAGGACAGGAGTGTGGCGTGTGAAACATGTATTTTGACGAGTCAACAGTATCATTTCCAGGGTACGCAACTGGCATTGTAACCCATCTCCCAAACTCCTCATTGCCAATTTCAGCTAACATATATGGAAAAAGTAACATCTCCACGTGAGAGAATACTTTTAGGGGGAAAACACAGTTAAGTGGGGCAAAGGGTAGAGGGCTAGAGGAGAAAGGGCAACAGAGGAAATGTTGAGGGGAGTGCCCCACTACAGAGCTGGGGACACGCAGCCACACTGTAGAGAGAAAAGAAGCAGAAAACCAGGGAAGAATTAAGAGTGGCACGAGGTGATTTTCAACCACATAAGGACCCACACAGGGCTCAGGGGGTAAGCAGCACATGCCCAGAGAGGCGGGAGTGAAAGATCATTGAGGTGAGACAGAAGAAGGAGATGAGTGTTGGGAGGCACACATAAGTACCAGGAAAGGAAGCAACGTTGGAAAGACCAGGTCCACCCGTAACATGGCACAGAAACAGGCCCCTACAGACAGAACTGCTCATGATCCAGAGGCTTAATTGGGCACATACCAACAGTCTGGGAGCACATGTACCTAGGAAACCTACCTTGTCTCAAAGAACCTCAGTGGGCGTTGGTGACTAGGATACTTTAACCAATTGCAGCCTGGGGGGGGGGGCGGTGCAGGTGGGACAGAGCTCTAAGAACCAGCATTTCAGCCCCAGAGTACTGCATTCACAGAATGAACACAAAGCTGGAAGTGACAAAGCATAATGGCCCCAGTAAAATGGGAAAAAAAATAAAGCTTTCTGTGGAAACAACTTTTCTGAATTTTCTTATGTTAACATGACGCTCCTAAATTTGCTAAGACACAAAATTAATCTTTACAGAAATGAGTGAGTGCAGTGTTCTGGAAAACACCTCTTGCAAATTAAAAACAACCAGGGACTTAGTCATGCACTGTTGATTTTTAGATAGTATTTATCACTAAGCCCTGTTCAAGAGGGTTTCTCCTTTACATGTATATTACGTAATGACACAAACAAAATTTTTGCCAATAAAAACTTACACTCTACTGGGAGTGTGCTGTCACTCTCAGAAGTGCAAAGGTCTTATATACATCACCCTCACCTCAGTTATTTTCACACGGCTCTCTGCTTTCCTGAATAGGTCCAGTAAAACTGACCAAAATGATTCATAATGGTCCCAGGCCAACCCTGCTTTGCAGTTGTACTGAGGAACTCGCATAATTTCCTTAAAAAACAAGATTATCTGCTCCAAAACACCAAAACATCAGTTTTGAGAATCTAGATCTCCTGAACTGTATGGCAGGAGTTTCCCAACCTCCTCATTGCCAATTTTCTTTTTAATAAAAAAGCTTCAAAGATGTTTAAAACATTTTTATTTTAAAAATAAAATTGATTCATAAAGTGCAGGGAAAAATGATTTCTGTTCAGTGCTTTACATCCATCTTCGACAAGCTGTTGGCAACAGAAAAGAGTGAAAAAAATTAGACGTACATAATCATTAACTTCAAGCTATCTTAGTGTGAAGTTATACCATGAACTATAAGAGCTGGTGGTAAAGGTAAGAAAACCGAGACCCTGAAAACTTGCGCAGCTCTGATAAAAAAGCCAAGACTAGATGCAAGGCTCCTGACTTCCAGGGCATTGCTCCTTCCACTTTACCAGGGTGCCAATAACCTAAGAATTCCGACTGGAGATTACAAAACAGGAATGCAAAGATGTACTATGGCTCTACCAAGGATATTATTGAAAAGAATGATAAGGGGGGAAATGGTGGCAGGAACACCTCCACAGTCCGTTCTTTTCTTCCATCTCCTTTCCAGTATTTACACCTTGAAGTTGAACGCTGTCAACCTGCGACATCGCACGTGGTAAGACATTTCCAGTAAACACTTGCCAATGAACTGAACTAGGACACCAAAATGGAAGTTGTTGGGTAAAACAGAACTTTCTCCTCCAGTTTCCTGCGACAGCCACTAAGGACTGCTCACCGACACTCCGGCAGGAGCCTGGCTCGGGCCGCATGGGGTGTGAAGCCAGTGGTCTCAGGCCGGATCCCCGCGCAGGCGAGACGGGGGTGGCAGCGCGGGGACCAGCAGGGGCCTACCGCACGGGACTCAGGCCAGGTCTAGCTCTTTCTGCGTCGCCGCCAGCTTCTCCTGCTGCCTCCGCTTCTTCCAGTTCAGGTAGCGCCTCCGCAGCCGGTTCGCCTGCCAGCCCACGAGCACTCCGGAGGCGAAGGCCAATAACACACAGAGCTGCAGCTTCCTCTCGGATACGCCCGCCATCGGAGCCACCAAACGCGCAGGGTGGACTACGGCGCCGGCGCCGAGACGGAGTCAAGGCGCAGCGCATTCACCGAGGCGGCAGAGGGGGCGTGACGTGCCCAGCGCGGCCAACGGAGTGGTGGTGAGGTCAAAGGGAGCCGCGCGTTCCTGGAGGAGGCAGAGAAGGCCCTCCTGGAGTGTGGGCTGCGTCTGGGACTTGCAAGGATGGCACTCTTGTGATCACTCCAGACTGAGGACTCTCCTATGGGCCTGATGAAGTAAGCAGGCCTGTCAGAGAAGTTCAATAGCAAAGAACTGAGGTGGCTTCTGTGGGCACGGCCCCCTCCTGCCAGCAGCCCACGGAAAATTGGGGCCCGCGGAATTACCTGCCCATTGTGAATATTCTTGGGAGCAGATTCTCCCCCAGCCCAGCCTCCGGTTTGGAACGCAGCTGATGCCCAGACTGTAGCCTGCGAGACCCTGCAGGAGGACCCGCGTGCCTGGAGTCCCCACCCCCCCGGGCTGTGGTTATGTTACACCACGCGAGAGAAACTAATCCGTCCCTGCAAGGGAGACCGCTCCTGGAGCCTGAACTCCCAGACTGGGGGCTGATCAGCCTCTCTTCAGACATCATCAGTAAACGGACTTTCATGCTTGAAGCAAAAACCTAAGTCAGTAGGGATTTGATAAAGGCAGTATTGGGTCCGATGTGAATTCACATCTGCCATGCTTACTGATCATTTTATTCAGCAAATATTTGTTCAGTGCTGCAGTGGGAGTGTAGAGATGCATAACCTCTGTCCTCAAGCAGCTTGGTGCAGTGTGAGATGGGAAGAAATAATTATGACACACTCCGATGAACGGGAATATGTAAAATATGTAGCTTAGGATTTTAAAAAGAAAAACCGTCAGTACATGCTTTCTCTCATACTCTATCCAATCTCTGGCCTGTTGGTTCTGTGTTCAAAGTATAGCCAGAAGTAAACCTCTTCTCTCCATTTTTCACTTACTGCTGCTGCTTGGGCAAAGCTGCCATCACCTCTTAGCGGAGCTACTGCAATAGCCCCATCAGGGCTCAGTGCTTCTCTATCTGCCCACATTTTGTACTCAATACAGCAGCCAGAATGAGCCTTTGAAATCAACTTGGGTCATATGTTGCTTCTGCTCAAACCCTACACTGCCCAAAGCCCCTATAGTGGTCCAAGGGATCCCTAAGATGGCGTGATGCCCCTGCACCCAGGGTGCTGTCAGGCTTAAGGGACAAGAGGGCCAAGTGCTGAGAGCTCATGGCTCGGGACAGGGCTGTCTCCCCAAATGTCATCCTAGTCACCCCTGCCCAGGTCCCAGGTTCCCCACCTCCAGATGATTCTCCATTGGTGTTTAGCACCTCTAGGTCGGTGAAGAAGAGGCCAAAAGAGGGAACACACTGTGCCATTGAAGTGAGGGGGGATGAGCCCCTGCTCTCAGCAGCCCGCACAGACCCTCCCCTGAAACACTTCAACCTCAACCCCCTGGCCCACCTCAGCATTCCCACCTGAAGCACCTCAGGACCCTCAGAGTCTCCTTCAGTTCCTTCCCCACCCCAAGGACACCAGATGCCTCCTGATCACCTCCCAGTCTGCTTCTGGCACATCCATCGCAGGGTCTGTGGTCCCAGGCCCAGCCCCACCCTCATATCTATCCTGCACCCATCATAGAGATGAGAACACAGAGGCTTACAGATGTCAGATGACTGCTTAAGGTCATGCGGATCGGAACTGAGAACTGTCCAAAACTAGTGCTGCATGATGATGTCCCCTCTTAGGCCCCTGAGACTTACCTGCTCCAGACTTGGAGCATATCCACATGGCTGGTGAAAAGCTGACAGATAACTCAAAGTACCTGTGAGGCAATTGCAAATTAAGTACTTTGATTGCGTTGGACAACCTAACATCAGATTGTCAGGTTGCTGTTGGCAATGTCAGTGCTAGAGCCTTTTGTTTGGAATCTGACTGCAGCAGTTAATGTTTGCAGATGCATGTCCTTCTACCAGCAGTTCCATCCCTGGGCATCTGTCTCCAGCTGGGGATAATATATATTGTGGGCTGAATTGTGACACCCAAATTACATGACTTCATAACCCCTGGGACTTCAGAATGTGCCTATATTTGGATTTTTGGTCTTTAAGGAGGTAATTGAGGTTGAGTTCAGTGGGGTCTGTCCATATGGCTGATGTTCTCAGCAGGGGAGGGGAGGACACGTGGAAGCACAGAGGGAAGTCCATGTGACACAGAGATAGAAGATGGTCACTGATGAGGAGATGGCTCCTCAGGAGAAACCAGCCGCATTAACACCCCAGTCTCTTAACTTCCAGCCTCTGGGATTGTGAGAAAATAAATGTCTACTGTTTGCACCATCCAGTGCAGTCCTATGTTATGGCAGCTGAGCAAACTCTTACAGTTTGTTAGGACACATATTCCTGGCAGCACTGCTGAAAGAGCACCCGAGTTGAAGGAATCACATCCTGGTCCAACGGCCTTGGAAGGCTGCGTCGTTGTGGCCAAACGGCCTCCATTATAGAATAGTATGAACATAAGTGAAGCCATGGTTTCTGACCTGGTAGCCCCCTGTGATATGTTCTGTGAGATGCCAAGTAGCAGGGAAATGAATAGAATAACTTAATCCCATCCTCTCCTTTCTAAGTATGAACCATGGTGATAAATGTGATGGTCTAAGAGGCCTGGAGAAGGTCTGCAAACAGTGGAGCTGGTGTGGAGAGTTAAACAATCAAAACTAGCAAAATACAGAGATGACACAAGTGTTTGTTTCTACGATTCTAACTAATATGTGAACAGTATTTCTACTCTACCAGGAAGCTGGTGGAGGAGTGGGGTCCAGATTCCTTTGGGCATGGGCCTGTGAAATGCCATGTGTGCAAGCCCTTGGAGGGCCCCAGGGGAGTCCCTAGATTTGAGTCTGAGTTTGGGGCCACCTCAGTCATCTCAGGGTCCTGGCTGTGGAGATCCCTCTGGGCCAACTCTTGGCTCATTCCAGCACTGGATAGTGGCCTGGCACACCTGCACTTGGAACCGGGGTTGGGGTGGGTGGACCCGTTGGCCATCTCCTACACCATCTCTGGGGTGGAGGGGGGTGGGGCTCTGCAGAGACAGAGCGTGGTCCTGGGCCACAAAGCATCAGAGCCTGCCCAGGCTCTGCTCCTGGGGGAGATGCCCACCACATGTTCTACTCCCCAGATCAGGCAGAGGCGTACCTGCAAGACATCCAGCCAGGGACAGGACAAGATGACACATGAGGGCTCAGGATCAACAGGTGGGTAGAGGAGCTTGGTCCCCAGCACTCGCCGTCCCGTCCTGTCAGCCATGACCTGAGGTATGAACATGACTGACCTGCCCACCTTCTGACCCCTAAACAACCTGGTCCTGCTCAGAGTGGGTGCCCCTCGTCTCAGGCTTTCCCTCACCACCACCAACACACACATGTGCACATACATGCACACACACACACACATATACTGCAGGGTTAGGGGTGTGGGGCTGCCTAGGTAGGTTCACAGTTGAGGCCTAGCCTAGCCTGCCCTGGGTTACCTGATGGAGCCTTGTGCCAAAGGGCCAGCGGCATCAGAGGTGAGGCCTGTGTCAATGTCTATGGCAACAGAAACATCTCTCACTCGGACTGTCCTCAGCCAGAGTCTCGGAAAGTCAGGAAACATCCTGCTCTCTTGACTGTCTCCAGACCGGGGCCTTCTCTAGAATGTGAGTGGCTAACCACCAGAGTTCTAATTTCTCTTGGGATCTGTCACCAAGGGAGCGAGGCCACCTCTTCAAGGTTCCATTACCCGGGCCCCTTCCTCCAATCAGAGCCACCCAAAGCCCCTTCTGGGCTGTTAACTGCTCCCCATCCTTGCTCAGGTCACCTGCACACTGATATCCAGCACAGCCCTCCCCATGGCTCCTGGAGCACGTGCCGTGTTCCCGGCTTGGAGGGGAGAGCGGAATTCAGATCTCATTTTTTTCTGACCAGTTCTCTGTCCTGGAAAAGCTTTGTGCCTCTCAGGGCCTCCCCAGTTTCCCCACTGCACAATGGGGACAATGCTAGAGACCACATCCTAGGGACATTGTTGAGTGTGGGTGAGACCACACCTATGACACCTGTGGGCTGGCATCACTTGAGTCTGATGCACAAACTTAGAGTTGGAGGACTTACAAGGAGTAGGATGTAGCATAAAACACCACTCAGAATGGGCCTGGGGTCCAGCCATGTGATCTTGGGGAAGTCACTGCCTGTCTTGGCCTTGTTTTCAGGTTTGCACCTTTAAGGGGATGGAATTAGAAGAAATTTAGACCTTGTCATCCACTGGCCTAAAACCTTCCGATGGTCTCATGTTCAACTCAGAATCAGACCAACGCCCTCGTGTGAGTCCACGTGGTGGCAGCCTCCACAACAGCCCCAGTGACTCCTGCCTCCTGGCATGAATGTCCCTGTGTGTCCACGGAGTGGTTAATAACTGGCTTCTGGACAACAGAATACAGCTAAGGTGACAGGGTGTCAGGTCCGCATTTAATTACTAAACTATCACTTCTGTTACTCATTCTTGAGTTCCTCCCTTCTCTCTACCTCCGTTTTAATTTCTCTGTGTGTGTCTCTGTCTGTCACATCTCTGGAACTGGGAAAGCAAGCTCCAATGTTTTGAGTTGCCCTATGTAAAGGGCCCAGAGGAGAGAACCAAGGGAGTGTCCGGGCCAACAGGCAGGAACTCAGGCTCTCAGTCCAAACTGCATCCTGACAATAACCAGGCGAGTGACCTTGAGAGAGAATCTTGCCTCAGTCTTGCCTCAGAAAACACAGCCCCTGCTTCATAGAGACCTTGAGGCAGAGCCAAACTGTGCCCAGATGCCTGGTCAACAGAAATTGTGAGATATTAGTATTTGTACTTTACAGATGTAATGTTATCTGTTTAAGTTTCCCCATCTGACAATAATAATAAACATACCCTCTCTGAGGTTATGGAGACTATTAAAGAATTGTTTGAAAAATGGTGGGAACACCTGGCATATCACAAGGGTTGTGTCTATATGCTATAAATAAGTTTAAAGATTCTTCTTTCACTGTCTGTAAGCTGCCAAGGGTGAGGACTAGTGCCTGGCGGAAGGTAGGAAGCAGCACTCCATTACATTTGATGAATAAGTGAATGAGCGACCTTCTTGAGCTCAAGAAAGTTTTCTGGCTTTCCATGAATGTGATATTGTACAGTTAAATCCACAGACAGGGAGGGCAAATAAAGCTGGGGTTCTTAACCCAGGTCTAGGAATCGCCTGGCGGGGGGAGGGGTGTTTGTGAAGCTCAGAAATTACATGCAAGGTTTGTGTGACAGCCTCCACACCTTTCATCAACTTTTCAAAAGGCCGAGCCCCACAGGTTTAAAACACACTGGCAAAGAGAGAAAATCAGCAGCCTCCTACTCTCTCTCCCAAGCCTGAAGGTAGGTTCAACTCACCGGGAAGTCAGCAACACTAGCCAGAAAGTCAGCTAGTTGAGTTAGAAGGCGGTTCAGGCTCCTAACGACGTGACCAGGATAAGACATGGACGCCAGCAGAGTGCTGTCACAGTACGGACTCCAGCAGACGTGGTCCCGCTTCCGGGCTTCGCCTGTGCTGCCGAAAGCGGAGGCCCGAGCATCCTTCAGGCTGCGCGGACTGCTTAGGGGTCAAGACCTCGAGCTACTTCGCGCCTCCTGCGAGGCCCCACCCCCGTGCGGCCCCGTCCCATGAAGCCCCGCTCCCGCCTAGCTCGGCGCGAAGCACGACGGGAAGCTAAGATGGACACCTCCGTTTGAACGTATCTCCAGAGCGGCTCACCTCCCGTCCACCTGTCTTCAGCCGCTGCTCGCTCTTCCTCCGGAGTAAGGGAAGGAGAGGGAATGAGAAGCTGCAGCGGCCGAGGAATCCCCGTGATCGATTCTGCCGCTGCCCTCGGGGAGCAGCCGGGGCTCGCCGCGCCTGACGCGTCCTGAATTACTCAGGTAAGGGTCCGGCCAGCGGCGCCAGTGGTCAGCGTGTGTCCTTTGATTCCCGCACCCGCCTAGGGCCGGCAGCGCAGGACCAGGTGAGGGGACCAGGAGCCTGGGGGAGGCCCGGCCTACGGGCTGGGCTCTCTGGGCACGTCTCCCCGCGCCCCTCCTAGCGCCAGGGCTTCCTTCCCGAGTAAACGCGGTGTCCATGTGCGGCCTCGGCTTCCAGTTCGGCCCCTTTCCCTCGGAAGGTTGTCTTACAACCCTGTTGTTTTCACCGACCCTTAAAGAGGCCGAGGAAGCTCTGCCTTTTTGCGGAGACTCAGCTAAAGGTGCCTTCTGGGGCTTTTGGGTCTGCTCTTGAACCAGCTTTGTGGGTACCTCTGACAGGATAGTTTTTGTTTCTAATATGGAAAGCTGACGTCTTGCTTTTTTAGCACATCAATTTAATCCAGTACTTTGCTGGGTAGCTCATTATGTTGCCCCTGATAAGTAAAAACACGTACACATTTGGGGTACTGTAGATTAGACACGTTGCCTTAAACAGCACAAGAAGATATTATACCGTGAAAATAATAGTGTAATTTATAATGTTGTAATTTTCTCTCAAAGTTTTGAGATGTTGGTTATCCGGTTGACTATAGAAAGGCCAGCTGAATTTTGTTTTCTGTGAGTTTTATAAAGCGCTATCTCAGTCATATCTCAAGTTTAAGTGTTCTCAATACTGACTTTTAGCAGGAGGAGAAGTGTCATGATTGTGACACTTAATTCACACAGCAAAATAACCGCAGCTCTAGAGAGCTGCATAGGAAATACTGGCTTTGAGATATTGCATCAAAGAAAGCAACCTGGGCCCAAAAGACCCCAGAGGAGAGACTAAGTCAAATTCAACTCTCTTCATCGTGATGAATGCCTTTTCAAATACTTTTTAAAGTTTGTCGATAGTGCCAACATTAATGTTTGTTTTCATTTATGTACTTGAGGATCGCACCTTAACTGTGATGCCACAAAAAACAGTTTTTAATGTAGATGTTGTCTCGGAGACAGAACTGGCATCCGCCTGTGATACCACATTATACAGTGTTGAAATTTGACTGGTTGTCAGTTACTGTACATAGAAATGTTTTGGAAGTAGAAGGATATGTTTATACCCACAGCTCATCCACATCTTTGCAGTAGTAAACTGAACTATGGTAGATTATGTTAATTAGAAGCTAGGACTCTTAAATTTGTAAACAAGCACGACTGTTCCATGGCCAAAGTTATTCGTGCCTCGGTTCGTTGGTTTTGGACCAAAAATTGGAATTAATTGTGGTTATACGTTTTGGTGGATTGGGGCTCTAAATTACTGATGGCATTTGCTAGTTTATTAAAGCAGTAGTTCAACTTTTGATGAATTAGAAGTAATGTGTGTTTTTCATGGTTTCATTTCAATATACCAGTGATCCTATAGGCGTGCTTTTCAAATGCAGTTCTAGCATCTGAACAGAAATTAACTTAAATGTTGAGAGCCAAGAGGTCATGGGCTATAAAGTACTGCTTGTCTAAAATACTTGTGTGAAGTGTGGAAAAATTAGTGTATAGTGCTAGGAAACGTAGGATCGGTATTGTGAGACATGAGCGGGTGTCTCATTCCATTGGTTTCCCACAGCAGTAACTGTGTATTGATTATTTGCACCTAAAATGTAACTAGTGTTGGTTATGTCATGGTAAGTAGCCAAAATGCTAACTGTAATTACTTGAAAGAGTGGGATCTGGAATGCCCTTTGATGTTATGATCACTTGTACACCTGCAATGCGCTAAGACTTTATGTCCCTCACCTAAAGAGTAATGACTTTTCCGTAAAATTTTATGGTATTTTGACTCTAACAGCTGACCAGAATGTGTTTGAATTCATACAGAAATAATGTTGATATTTGGAACCCATGTCGAACTTCTATGAAGAAAGGGCAACAATGATTGCAGCCGGGGATTTGCAGGAATTTGTTCCTTTCGGTCGAGACCACTGCAAGCATCACCCTAATGCTCTGAACCTTCAACTGCGCCAGCTGCAGCCAGCTTCTGAGTTATGGTCGTCCGATGGTGCTGCTGGCTTGGTGGGGTCCCTTCAGGAGGTTACAATCCACGAGAAACAGAAGGTTCTCTTAAGATTCTCATTTTATTTTGAAACATAGACTGATGCGATCTACTTATAATTTAAGGCTACCCAGATGCAACAGAGAAATTAGTGTGATGCCATTTCTAGGGTAGAGTAAGATTTGGTAATTTTAATTAAGGCTGAAAATAATGACTTTATTGTATTATAGTATTATGGTTGTTTATCTAGACAGCTTGTATAACTTCATGGTTTTATCATGAGAGTCACTGTGATTATGGTCCATTTTAAACCTCTTTTCTTAGTACGTGGGGACCAGATTTCATGTTACTTGATTAGATAGTAGTTAGAAATGGTTCCTGCTGCAAAAAACTTACATATTTCTAGAGGAGAAAAGAAATGCCACTTAAGTAGACAAAATAGTAAGTAGTTCCTAAGTAGAAGGATGAGATGTGAGTGTCAGAAAGTCATTCTTTCCCACTTTATTCCATTTTCATCTCCCTTTTGGGGTACTGAAATCTCAGGAAGGGGAAGTCTGTGTAGTTAGAGAGCTAAACCTTTTCCTCCTGGTTCATGTTGACGATTGAGACAAGGTTAGGAAGGTAAATGTGTGCAGTTGTGAAGCAGGGAAATCTGCATGGCACACAAGCTCCCCCAGTGTTCCCATGTGCACCTCACTGGCCCCTCTCCATCATCCCCGTACAGTTAATCGATCTTTTTAGTCTCCCAAGCACGTTGGTTTCATTTTTGGATGTACAGGTAAGGGTTAATTTTTGCTTATATTTTTGGCAGCATAATATGGTAGTATATAAAACGTTTAATGTAGAATGCTTGAGTAAATTCTTGTTTCTGAAATCCTATAAGACATGTAATACACCCACACACCCCTCTCTGTTAGAAGCACCAAACTTTCTAAAAGTTTGGCTTGGATTAAGTCTTACTCCACAGGCAGAGAGAGAAGAGGAGACTTGTATCTGGGTGGTCTTTTGATTTAATTAATAAGTATTGCTCCATACTATTAAAAAAAAGGCAGTGCTTGAACATGTCTTACATGTGTTAATTTTTAAGGAAAGCTGGCAGTTAAGGAAAGGCGTAAGCGAAATTGGAGAAGAAGTGGATTATGATGAGGAACTCTATGTGGCTGGAAATATGGTGATCTGGAGCAAAGGGAGTAAAAGTCAGGCGCTGGCAGTTTATAAAGCGTTTACAGTTGACAGTCCTGTTCAACAGGTGAGTTGATTTGAATTTTAGCATTTGATTAGCTCTTTAACAGTTTTTTTAAAAAAGCTTTAGTCTTCATGTTTAAAAGAAATGATAAGAACAGAGCATAATGATCCCAGCAGCTGGGTGTACATTTTAACATGTAGTGAAGATGATGGTAGGAAAAGGAAACTTTCATTTATTTTCTGTATCATTTTTTTTTATGCTATTCCTTGTCCATTTGGTGATAATCTTTAGACACTCTTTTTTAGTAATTCGGTTAGATATTGTTAATAAAAATTTATAAGGCATTAAGGGTACAAGAATAACTTAACACATGATGATTATAATTGATTGCAAAGTATTTAATAAAGAAAAATCAGTTTCATAATAATGCTTAGAGAGAAAGTGAAATGAAGAAGACTAATTTGTGCTCATTGCACTCGGCTGTTGTACCCAACTGTAGTCTTAAAATTGGTAATTAAAGGGAAAGAATTAAGCATTTGCCCTGCCTTTTTGGGAAGACAGTTAACTTCCAGTGAATGAAAGAAAACCCTATTTATAGACTAATGCCAGCTAATACAGAAGGATGGTGAAATTAGAAAATCACCATTTTGTATCCTCCAGTTTAATCATTAATTCAGAACAGGATTGTAAATGGACACTAATGCTATTTGGTGAAAGGGTGTTAGCAGGGCACCAGGGAGTCACCCTGTGGGTCGCTTGCTGAATGTGAAGGAACAAATGTGTATCTACTGTGGAGCTATCTGTTGGTGTCCACCTCGACCATGTGTGGGGTTTGCCATCACTAATAGTGGGACAGAGGAATACTGTGTACGTACAGCTGTAATGCAGCATTTATAGTAGTTGAATTAATTGTTAGGCTATTGACAAGAGGTTTTGAAGCTTTTTGACCAATGTTAAGTCCTTTATTGGTAAACGCAGAAATCTTGGTTCCTGGACACTGCTTGTTACTTATTTCCTTGTTAACTGTTTCCTGATGAACATTGTACTCCTCTAACCATATATTGGGAAGGATACACTGAATTATTCCAAAAATTGAAGGTACGTGTAAAAGCATTTTTGTCTAGGAGTGTTGAAGCCAGTAGTCTTTTGATGATCATTTCCCCATGAATCTGTATGGTTAGAGTAGATGTCAAAAGTGCTGTGGTGATATCCAGATAGTTCTTTGCTCCTATGTTTCCATCTTAATTTCTCCAAGGAATGATTGTCTGTTTACTGGGTTCTATGGATATGCAGTATTGTCTTCTTTTTCTTGTCTCCTTTATCTTAAAATCACTTGTAAATGGAATCATAAGCTTTGTAATCTCAGTCCTTTTGGTCTGGAAAACATTGTTCAGGCTTCTGCTAGTATAGAGAAAGATAATTTTATAGTTTGGTTAGAAATAATTCCAGGAGTATGTGACTCAGATTTAGTTTATTCCTTCATTTATTCTGTAAGTGTTTAGTGACACTCTTTAAAAAAAAAGCAGTGTCCTGTTGACAAAGATGAATTTACAGTTTCTGCCATTGAAGAACTCATAGTGTGGAAAGGTGAACAAAAAACAGGCAAACTAAAATGCCGTATTCAGATAAACTGAAGTGCTGTATCATAGCTGCGTATTCGCAGTGTGGTGAGAGCTGGGGGACTGAGCTCTGAAGGGAGGATTTCTTAAAGGAGATGCTGGTTTCTGAGACTAGGAGGATGGAGTTTCATGAAAAGAAGCTGAGCGGGTAAGAGATACAGCATAGATTTTGGATGTTTCAGAATCATTTTGGAATGCAGCTCTGATGCCAGTTTTTCATTTGCTAAAATGCCATTAAAAACTCCTACAACTCAACAACAACAAAATAATCCATTTCAAAACCAGGGAGAGGACTTGAATGGACATTTCTCTAAAGAAGACAAGCAGATGGCCAGTAAGCACATGAGAAATGCGCAGCTTTGGTAATCATTAGGCAAATGCAAATAAAAGCCAAAATGACATGCCCCTTTATACCTACTGGGATGGCTGTTATGAAAAAAATGAAAAAAATACCAAGTGTTGCTGAGGATGTTGAAAAATTGAAACCTTGTGCATTACTGGTGGCCAAGTGAAAAAGCCACTCTGGAAAAGAGTTTAGTGTTTCCTCAAAAAGTTCAACTTAAGATCACCATGTGTCCCAGCAGTTCCCCTTGTAGAGTATGTACGGGGATGATAGCAGGGGCGCAGACAGATGGTTGTACACCAGTGCTTATAGCAGTGTTATTCACACTGGCCAAAGGGGGCACAGCCCAAATGTCTATGGCCAGATGAATGGGTAAACAACATGTGGTCGATGCCTACAATGGAATGTCATTCAGCCTTTAAAAGGAAGGGAATTCTGATACATGCTGCAGCATGAATGAACCTTGAGGGCCTTATGCTAGGTGAAATAAACGAGATACAACAGGACGGATACGGCATGGTTCCACCTTCCTGCGATACTTCGAGTAGGCAGATTCATAGAGACAGGAAGTGGAATAGAGGCTGCGGGGAGGGAGAAATGGGGAGTTACTGTTGAATGGGCAGTTTCTGTTTGGGATGATGAAAAAGTTCTGGAAATGGATAACAATGAGGTTGCACTATTTTGTGAATGTACTTAATGCCACTGAATTTGTATACCTAAAAATGGTTAAAATAGCAAATTTTATGTTACGTATATCTTACCACAATTCAAAATAACCCAGAAAAATGCCATTAATAATTTCAGTAAGTGAAAGTTGAATGGCTTTTCCTAGTTTATATTTTGTAAGATGGGTCTTTAGGAAGGGGAAATGTTTTTCTAAAGAGTTTTCTAAAGCAAGTCTAAGAATATAAAAGAGTGATAAGATCATTAAGTAAGTCTGGAGATTGTAAAATAGCTTGGCAATTTTCAGCTTTCTGATAATCCTTAGCTTTGCATAGGACATAGGGCTTAATATACGTTGAGCCAATGTTTGAGTTGATGCAAGGGTTCTACCTAGTTGATGTTTGATTTTTGTCTTCCCTTCTCTTTTCATAAAATTTACCTGCAGTTTATCGTTCTTTATACTATTTATCATTATTAGTCTAACTTTATTTTATTTGACTCTTTTTTGTTCCTATGGTGTGTGTCGAGCCGACAAGGAGAGACGGTTGTATAGGTGTCATGATTATTATTTAGATGCCATTAGTCAATAAGTTATTATTTAGCTACAATTTTATTTTTGTTTGTTTTAATTTTAGGCATTGTGGTGTGACTTCATTATATCACAGGATAAGTCTGAAAAAGCCTACAGTAAGTTTCTTTTTAATTTTATTGCATTTTATGATTCCAAATGTATATCATTGTTTTTTCTCATTCAAAATTAGTAGCCCCTAATAATGGTGGATTAGCCTAGGCATTTTTTATTGTTCTTTGAAGAATTTGTGCTGTTGGGAATTGTAACTTGTGATTGTTGGGGTGTTTTTGAAACAAAAACATACCTCTGGTTGTACTCTTTTTTCAGGTAGCGATGAAGTAGAGAAATGCATATGTATATTGCAAAGTTCGTGTATTAACATGCACAGCATAGGAGGAAAGGATTACATAGCTTCTTTACCTTTTCAGGTAAACTTAAATGTTTTTGTGTTTGGTTGGGGAATATTCTTGAATTAATTGGTTTCAGAAGTATTGCTACTCTTATGTCTTGTAGTAATTAATAATATTTTTACTCAAAATTTAGCAGCTTTTGTGGCTTATCACTTTTCGATCTTTGCATAAAAAATAATTTAATGAAGTGAATTGTAAAGTCTTTTCTGAGAGTTTTTCCCCCAAAGTTTAAGTGACAGATAGGAAATCGTTTTGGTTATATTAAAGAAGGTGACAATATTAGTCTTTTTCTTGTTTCTCATCATCTTTTTCCTGTCAAGTGCTGAGGTTAAAGTTGTATCGCTTTGTCACTTTGGTGTCAATATTAGCCCCTGGCAGGAATCTCAGATCGAGCTCTTCCTTAGAGTTGATTTTGTTTGAGACTTGCTTGTTAGAGTTCCTTTTTAAAAATATTAGTCACTGATCACGTTTTTGTGAAGCTCTTACTGAATTGGAAGGACATCTGATGTTCTCCGATGTTTTCTAAACACACGTCCCAGAGAGCATCACCTTTACCCTGTCTGCCCACCTTTACCTGGCAGGTTGCCGGTGTCTGGCCTACTAAGTATGGACTGTTGTTCGAACGGAGCACTTCTGCACACGAGGCACCTCCCGGCCCGCCCAGGTACTGAGTTCACTCAGTTCAGAACGTTGTTGCTTGGGCTTCTCTGTGTTGGTTCTGAGGTGAAATTGTTTACCTGAGACTTTGGGATGATGATAATTTCCATGGTAACAGCACAGATTTATGCCATTTTCTCTCCTCTCACTGTTGTACGCTTGTGAATTCTCATGTGGTACTGAGTCATCTAACAGAACAAACCCATGGCTTAAAGATAACAAGACTCACTTCTCAGCTCTGCCATCTTTTTATCTTCAGTTTTCATATTTGTTACAGAAATGCTTCCATTTACTTCTTAGGATGCAGGTTTAAGTTAGCTAACGTACATAATCTTTGTCAGAGGGCTCAGGACATGTTAGGTGTGCCAGAAACTGTAGGTGCTCATCAGTGTGTGTTTACCTGTGTCCTGAGCCAGTAGTGAGCTCCTGTCATGACGAGCAGGGACATACAGTATCCATCACAGTGGGGGCAAGTAGTGGATGTGACGTCTTCAAAAAATGACTTAGATATTGATCTCTTTTTTTGTTTACATAGAAGGCCTGGTTTTTCCCCCTCTTTTTTCAATCACTCCTTAAAAATATATAGCCTTTTTATTTACTTGAAGATTTTCTCCTTTTATTTTTTAGGTGCACTCCTTCATATGTTGGTGTAGGAGACAAAATTCCTTCTTAGCTGCCAAAGACATACTCCTACTAAGAGAGGTTCAAAAACGAACCAGACTGCCTTGTGCCCATTACCCCATTGGTGATGAATGCTGTTTGTAGCTAGTCCTGGGCTGTGTGTGAGTGTGTATGTGTGTGTATGAGTATGTGGAGAATTAACCTGCATAAGAGGAGAGCTGTCTAGGAAGGAAATAGAAGATACTGTGAAAAACACTGTGTAAAAGTTGAGAGGGTTGCTTTTAGAGATGGCAGGTTTCTAGTTGCTTATGTAACCTGGAAAAGATTTTTTTTGCAAGGCAAGTGTAAAGTTTTTGTACAAATGGAGTCATCTCGTGTTGGTGATCGATTGTTTGTTTATTATCAGAGAACCTTTACCCACTATGTTCAGCATGCTGCATCCACTGGATGAAATAACCCCACTTGTGTGTAAATCGGGAAGTAAGTGTATTTTTATAAATTCATATTTTTGAATTGGGGTGAGGAGAATGAAGATGCTTAAGAAAATTTGACTCATTTTATAAAAATAATATAACTTAAGCATTTTACAAAAATAACTATTTTGAAAATAATTTATATTAAAGCAAGAACTTCTTGAATACCATGCTATTAGCTGTTTTAACAGTTATCCTTTTCCTAAAAAGAGAGCCTGAGTTGATCAGGATGGCTAGTGGATTTGCTGACCTACTTGGGCTCTATTCCTCAGTAATTAATAAGTAAATGAATGATACTTAGGTGAATTAAAAAAATTTTCTTTGAAGGAAAAAATATAGATCTTAGGCCTGTACTGTGTGAATATTTTAATATTTCATTTTCCCTGCTCATAAAGACATCATTTGCTGGGGCTCAGAACTATTAATATTTTCTACAGACATTTCTAGATGACATTTTCAATGTCATGGTAATTATAAATAATAAGGACTTGAAAGGTCAAAAAATATTCATACTTTTTGACAAATTTTTCTTTTAGGACTTTATCCCTAGTACATATTCTGAAATACCACTGAGGTTTTTATTTTCTGTACCAGGGCTTGGCAGCTGCAGCCTGCAGGTTACATCTAACTGCTTGTTTTTGTAAGGCTTAAGAGCTAAGAACCATTTTTACCTTTTTAAAGGTTCGTAGGAAAAAACAAAAAGATTTATACTACAGAGTTAGTATGTGGTCCGCAAAGCCCGAACTAGTTACTCTGGTCCTTTACAGAAGTTTGTTGATAATTCTGTATTTGTCGGTACCAGTTACAACCTAAATAAACATTTTAGAACCTTGGATTGAATCATGTGCAGCCATTATTGATCATATTTTTGAATAATATTTAATGACCTCAGGGATTGCTTATGCATAATGTTCAGTAGGATTTAAAACTAAATACTAATTTTGTAATAACATTAGAAGTGTGTGTCTACATATAGGAGACAAATTGGAATACTCCCTAATATAGTAATAGAGGATATTTTGAGGTGGTGGGATTAAGAGTGATTTTTATTTATTTTATAAAGTACTTATTTTCATAAAATATATATATGTTTTTATTATCTAATATTTTAACTGAGAGGGAAGCATTTCAGAAGCTGTCAAATAAGGACAGAAATTAATTTGTGGTGCTATAGAAGTAGAAACCAAACTTACTAGGAAAACCCTATTTTGCATGTTTGCATGTGTAATCAGTAAAGCAGAAACAGGTGTATTGTTTTAGCACTCTTTGAATGATTATTATAAAGGACAGATTTCATATAGAACCAGTAACAACTTGGCAGAATAGTTGATTGCAGTTTATAAATAAGGTGGTTATTGAAGGAGTCGTGGACCTTTTACCTGTGGCTGATGAATTTAATGGTGAGTCAGCACAAATCTTCACCATTTAATCACATGTATGTGAGATTAAAACTGGAAACACTCTCATCTTTAATGTATTTTAAGGAAGCTGATACCCAAAGAAAATTTATTAAAATTCAAGGTTAATTAATATATTAATGGATTTTTATGCCTTAATTGGCTTGGTTTCTCTTTGTCTTTAGGGATTGCAAGAAGTCTTTTTGATAAAGAACAGTGTTGTAAAGTCCATTGTTCAAAACTTGGTTATTTCTATTTTATCTCGAAGGCCTTTTCGGTTCATCACGGGTGCAATATGTTGTAGATCACGCGATGAAAATAGTTTTTCTCAACATGGACCCCTCCATTGTAATGACCTACGACACTGTTCAGAGTCTACATTCTGTGTGGGTTCTCCGGAGAGTTAAAACAGAGGTGAGGACAAGGGCTGGATAGTACTGAAAACCTCCACGTGCTTCTGGAGGAATCATTAGTGAGGTAGATGGAGCCACTTAGGAAAAAAGAAAGATTGGACCTTTAGTAACTTGAATCTCCCTGAGTTCTCACAAGGAAATTACTCTTTTCATCTGATGATTATCTTTTTTTTTTTTCCCCTTCTTATCATTTTGACTTAAGGAAGAGAATGTTGTTTTAAAGTTCTCTGAACAGGGGGGCACCCCCCAGAATGTGGCCACGAGTAGCTCCCTCACAGCTCACCTCAGAAGCCTTTCCAAAGGAGACTCTCCCGTGGGCTCGCCTTTCCAGAATTACTCCTCAGTCCACAGTCAGAGCCGCTCCACCTCGTCGCCCAGTCTGCACTCTCGGTCTCCTTCCATCTCCAACATGGCAGCTCTGAGGTGGGACTTGGGTGTAGAGTGTGTCCTTGTTTTACCAAGATAGTGCAAGAAAAAGATACCTTCTTTTCCAAACTTTCTCTTGGTTTTGAGGGACTTAACAGTTTCTGTTGCCAGCTCTGGGTGTTGTTTAGGGAAGACAGCCAGTATTCCATCTGTGTTACTGTTACCGAGACTTCCAGGTCCACTCTGTCACCTCGTTCAATGAGTCACATTTGGAGGCCGCTTGTGCTTGTCAGACTGGTTACCTCATTTCTACCACTGAGTGGCAGCATTTTGATGAATATTGATTGCAAAAATATTTCGTTATTTTATCTTAATTTACATTAGCTTTCCTTTTGTTTTTATCATCTATCTCTGTCATCTGTCTGTTATCTATCATCTATCTCTGTCATCCGTTTATCATCTATCTGTCATCTATCATTTATCTCATCTATTTATCATCTATCATCTATGTCATCTGTCTATCTACCTAGATATCTCCCTATCTTTTTACATAGGGACATAGTTTCATTGCTGCGCATGTGTCCGAATGTACAGGAACAGAGTTCAGACCTTTTTGAATAATATAAACAATTCATTTTCTGAGGCAGAAAATTAACTAATTTGCAGTTCTAAAAGAATGAATTCTAATAAGAATTCTAAATCATTAGAATATAGTAAAACACATTCACACGATCCATTTAAGTAGCACTTCCTTTTTTAAAAACTTATTTTTCTGACTGGAACTATGCCATGAATGCTCTCTGTGCACAGAACTGGGAAAGTGCTATTGGTCGATGTGTGACAGCAGCCTGTAGTGTTGACTGTGCCATCCTCTCTCCTCTGTTTACTTTGCAGCCGTGCTCACTCCCCTGCCTCAGGAGCGCACTCTTTCTCAGGGGTGCAAAGGTTCAACCTTTCAAGCCACAATCAGTCTCCAAGGAGACACAGCATTTCTCAGTCTCCAAATAGCCATTCAAATGGCTCTTTCCTTGCGCCAGAAACCGAGCCGATTGTTCCTGAACTGTGTATTGAACATGTATGGACAGAAGCAATTACCAGTATGAGGTTTGAACTGTATATTTTTATATTCAAAGAAAAATGTTGCTAAAGTCTTAGAAAATACTTGGTATTTTGCTTAAACTTCCTTTTAGTATCCTTGGTTCTTAATACTTAGAAAAGCACGCAGATATATCTTAATACCACCTGTTTTAGTTTAGATCTCTGTTCTTTGTGATCTTTCTCCTTATATGTTCCCTTTAATAATTCATTCATTCATTCATTCAGCCCATCCCAGTGAGTGTGCTAGTGCCTCTGGGTTAGCAGGCAAATTAGTCACTGTTCCTGTTCTCAAAGAGACACAGAAGGACAATGACAGAGGAGACACTGTGAGTTCTGCCGGTGGGGCTTTGGAAAGATGGATAGGTATTTGGTAGGTGGGGAAGTGAAGAAGCGACAGTAGGGCAGATAGGGCAGCAGAGCAGAAGCTGAGAAGTGTGAGTGCATGTTGTGTTCAGGGAACTACAGATGCACCCACCTGCTTGTGTCAGGGGGAAGAGAAAGGGCTGAGAGATGGAGATGCCTCTAGGGCTGCTCCACTTGATGACAGCTGTGAGAAGGTGTTTCATACGTGGGGGTAAACTCAGGGTTGAGCAGAGCAATAAACGTGGGAGTTGTGTGCCTGAGAGTGATGATGGAGGCAAGAGAGCTCAGTTCCTGGGGTCAGGTTCCTGGGGGGTTGTGGATGAGCCTGCGGCCGCAGAGCATCTGCTAACCCTCTAGAGCCCTGCCTCGTCATGCATGCGTGTGTGTGCGTGCATGTGTTGTGTGCAGGCCTTTCTCTAAGGTGAGAGTTTTCACGTCCGTCCCATTCTAAAGGGGTCCGTGACCTCCACCCACGTAGTGAAAACCTGGTGGTGTAGAATCAGAAGAGGGCTAGGGGCTCAAGTCTCGGAACCATCCCATTTTTTGGGGCGAAAAGTGACGAGACAAAGGTGTCGCAGAGAGACAAAGCAAGAGAGGTCAGGTGGGTGATATGGCAGAAGTCAATGTCATAGAGTACAGGAAGGCAGTCTTTCTGAAGGAAAGTGCCAGTAATGCCAATGCTTGAGAGGTGTGGTACCAAGAGTGGGTGCCGAGAGGTGGTGCATGCAGGGCAGTGGGCTCTCTGGTGACCTGTGGGGCTGGGGCTGGGGCTGGGAAGGTGAGCCTAGTTGCACAGATGATCTGAAGGGCTTTGCCTTTGAGTAGGGGTGGGGTTTGCGATGAGCCAGACCGAGTCTCTGAGTTAGGGAGAGGTTTTGCTGAACTGTTTAAAGGAAATTCACCTTCATGACGAAATATCTCAGTTGTATCTCGAAAATGTCAGGACTTTTTTTTACCCAACTGCAATACTATTTTTACACCCAGCCAGTTAACACTAAGTTCATATCATCTAATGTTCAGTCCATGTTCATGTTTTAAGACTTTTATCTTAATTCGAGAGAGTAGGCCACAGGATGGCACCGGAAGTACAGGTGTGAGGTGTGACAGTGGACAAGGACCCAGTTAAGAGCACAAGTGGAGAGAGTAGCCTGGAGAGAGGGAAGGGGAGGGTTATGGCACAGAGAGGGTGGGAGCCTGCATTCTCTGTGGAACAGAAGGTGAATGTGCTTCCTTAGATGGAGGAGGGGACGGATCCTTGGAGCAAAGGAAGGATGGGATGCAGAGTGGAAGTGACTTTTCTGTTTTCCTTCCTCAGATATAAAATAAACACATTCTGCTCTTAAACGTAACATGTCTTTAAGTAGCTTACTGGCAAGTATTGCAGATTCTTGTTTCACAGAGTTCTGGTTTTCTGCCCCATTCAGGGCATGAGAGAAGTGGTTTAAAAGAGTGAGGAAGCTGAGGCTGGGTGAGAGCGGAGATTGGAGACAGGAGAGGACATGTCTAAAGCGGCTGAGCCCTTAGACCCTGAAAGGGGTAGGAATTCAAGTCTGCAGTGCTTCAGCCGTGGTTAACTTGCACAATACGGAAGTAAAGAGTCCACTGGTAATGATTAAGACTATTATGATTTTCATCCAGAAAGTTGTGGACCGAACTCAGAATCAAAGAGCTGAAAGGAATCTCAGATCATGAAATTCACATCTTAGGAGTGTTTAGGGTCTCCAGGGTTATTGCTGGCCCATGCAGTTTTTACGTCTTGCAGAGCATTTTCAAAGCCTTCTAAGAGTTGTCATGGTAGGTTTTTGAACTGCTGTTGATGGTTACCATATTGATGCATTTATTGCAGAGAGAAAAATTCACAGGCCTCCAAAGTGTTTATTACATCTGACCTATGTGGGCAGAAGTTCTTGTGCTTCTTAGTAGAGTCCCAGCTCCAGTTACGGTAAGTGTGTATTCCTGTTGGTTCTGTGCGGATAAACTTTTGGCTGCCCGTTCTCCCTCCCTCCCTTCATAGCTTTATTGAAATAATTTACATACCGTAAAATAGATATGTTTAAGTGTACAATTAAATGATTCTTGTAAATTTATGGAGTTATGCAGCCATCACCACAATCCAGTCTTAAAAGGTTTCTGCCACCCTAAAGACGCTTGTGCTTGTTTCTCAGGCAGCCACTGTCCCCATACCTAGCCTTAGGCAGCTACTCTGTAGGCTTCCAGCCTCTGTGGATTTGCCTTTCTAGGCATTTTATAGAATCATGCAGAATGTAGCTTTTTGTGTTTCGCCTCTTTCACTAGTCATAATGGTTTTTAGGGCCCACCAGGGACGTGTGGGGGCTTTATCTCTGGCGCGTGCGGCAGTTCGTCACGTAGGTGCAGCACATTGGGTTTATGGCCCTTCTGTCTGTTCCCACCTTTCGACCATCGTGCATTATGGTGCCGTGAACACTGGAGCCAAAGTCTTTCTGTGGACATACATGAGTTCTTTTTCCTTGGGTAGGTAGATATCTAGGAGCGGAATTGTTGGGTCAAATGTTAAATTCATTTTTAGCTTTTTAAGGACTTGCCAGACGTTCTGTGTATATGATTCCATGTACATTCCCACCAGCCATGTTTGGGGGTTCCAGTTTCTTCATCCTTAACAAGATTGCACATCATCAGTCTCTCTGATTGTAGCCATTCTAGAGGGTGTGAACTGGCTTTAATTTGCATTTCTTGATGACTTATGTTGAGCATCTTCTCATGTTCTTATTGGCCATTGCTGTATCTTCTTAGGTGAAATGTATATTCATATCTTTGCCCATTTATTTACCTTTTTATTTTGAGATAATTATAAGTCACAGGAAGTTGCAGGCCTTGTGTACCCTGCACTCTTTTTACCCTGGAAGTTACATCTCATAGCTTCAGTACGTGATCCAAACAAGGATGTTGACAGCAGTGCAGCCCACAGACCTTGCTCAGGCTTCATCGGTCTTCCATGGACTTGTGTATGTGTGTATTCATGGTTCCAGGAAATTTGCTCACGTGTGTAGGCTTGCACAGGCACCATAGTCAAGGCATAGAACTTCTTATCACCTCAAGGACCTCCCTCATGCTACTCCTTTATAGTCACCTATGTCACACCCACCCACCCGTTCTTAACCCCTGACAGCTACTGATCGTTCTCTATAATTTTGTCATTTGAAATGTTATATGAGTGGATCCCACAGTATGTGATTTTGAGACTGGCTTTTCCAGTCAGGGTAATGCCCTTGATACAGGTGTCACGCGTGTCATTGGTGTGTGTTTTGCTTGGGTGTGTAGCTGTGTGAAGTTTCAAGAGAGTAATGATAAGACCCAGCTCATCTTCGGCTCCATCACCAACCTGCAGGCAAAGGATGCGGCGCCAGTGGAGGTAACAGGCACATTTCTTGAGAAGTTGAAAATGATTTTGCTTTGTAATTTGTACAGATTGGAAAATACAATTTGTGTCCTTTTTTAGAAGTTAGACACCATGCTGGTCCTGGAAAGCAGTGGCAACCTGGTGCTATACACAGGCGTGGTCCGGGTAAGTAGTAAGTAGCATTCTGCTTTTGCAAGACTGCCTCCTTAGATGTTATTTTGTGATGTTACTTTAGTTTGATATTTAATATTTGTTACTTCCTGTCTGTGGGATTTGGCAGAGATTTTTTCTGAGAGTTGAAAATGAAGTCTGCAGTTAGGTTGGTCCTCACGTCACGTCACGGCGGTCTCGGACTCGCTGCCATTAGCTGCGCTGGCACTGGGCCTGGCATGGGGGCAGCCTCTAATGAGTTAGGCAGATGATTTTTTAAAAAGAGAGTTAAGCCGAAGTTTTGCGAAGATTGTAGTTTTGAAATTGCTAGATTGGTTTCTTTGTTAAGTCTCAAAGATTTTTTTTAAGTTTTATTGTATTCAATGTATAATGTTGGCTGTATCTTGTTATCAGTTTTAAAATTTACATACACAAAAATAAATTTTACAAATTAAATCATGAAATTTAAATACATTATGCAGTTTGAAGAATAACGAAGTGTACATTCATATATGCTCGACCCAGGGATGTCGCCAGTATGTGTGTCGTCTCCTAGGCGTCCTTTCCTGGTTGTACCCTCAGCTCCCTGCCTTTCTCCAGAGGGACATTCTCCTGACTTTTACAGTAACTCAGTCCCTTGTTCTTATTGGTATTTTTCAATTATGTATGTATCATAAAGAGTGCATTGTTTATTTTTTCCTCATTTTGAGTTTTTATTAGAGGGGACAATACCATACACTTTTCCCTGACTTGATTGCTTTACTCAACTTTATACTATATTTTAGATTTATCTATGTTGATATGTAGCTGCTGTTTCCTCATTCACTGTTACATAGTATCCCACTATAGAATTATACCCAAACTCTTCCCATTTCACCAGTCTCTGAGGTGGTTTGTGTTGTACCTGCCGTTTCTTCTAATAAACGACACTAAAACAATCCTTATACACGGCCTCTAGGCTTCAGAGTGTGCACAGATTCAGCTTGGCCTGTGTGGGTTGTACCAGTTTGCAGCCTCTCCCTGACTCCTGGCCTGCAGTGTAGAAAATCCTCTTTGTTTCCTTGCTAAGTGTGGTGGCTGCCTTGTTCCTGCTGGCTGGGGATGGACTGCAGTGCAGGAGGGGAGGGGAGAAGTGAGCTGCCTTAGGGCAGGGCAGAGGTGCAGCCAGTGCTCCTCCTGCACAGGGGCTGCCGACACTGGAGGGGGAGGGGCAGCCTTGGGGTGCTGGGAGCAGGGATCTATCCCCTGTCCCTGCAGCTGAGGTGCCTGATGAGAAGGTAGGAGGTGCCATCTCAGTTGCTGTGGAGCTAGCCTATGAGATTGGCCTGGTCCACAGTCTCTAGTGGGGGCAGGGGTGCCACCACCAGGTGGGATGAAGCCCCCAGAGCACAGCTCTTCAAGGGAATGGAGGCCCCAGAGGGCCATGCTATTTTCGTCATGTTTGTTGGAGTGGGGCAGGTTGGTGAAAGTGTCTGTTCTGCTTGTCACCCTTTCCCTGACACCTTGGCCAGAAGGAGCAAGGTTTTTGTGGGGCTTCTTTTGGTCTGCCTGCGGGCATTTCTGGGCGGCAGGCGCTTGGAGAGCCCAAGACCTGGTTATGCAAGGAGATTGCCCCACCCAAGACCTGGTTATGTAAGGAGATTACCTGGAGCACTCCTCCTCCTCAGGTCCCTAGCCAGTCAGGTTTCTTCCTTGCCTCACAGAGCCTTCTGTCTTGAAAATTTCCTTCAGAGTTTTTTGTTGTGGTGGCAAGTAGTGGGAGGGACAGCATGGAATGTGTTTGCTCCAGGTTTTCATTACCTGGAGGTCTCTGATAGTTTTTTAAAAGCTTTTTGTATACACTACTTCTCATTGTCATTTTTTTTATTCCTAAGGATTTTATTTGGGCAATTTTTGTAATTAGCGTTTGGGGAGTATACTCATGTAATTATGTATATTGTTAACATATCTCTTTAGTTATGAGTATTTCCTTTTAATCTTACCAAGAGTTTTTAGCCTGTATACACAAGTTGGTATAATGTTTTGGCCATGTTGGCATTCCTCTCCTTTCTTGCAAAAAAAATTCTCAGTAATGAAGATAAGGAATCAGATCAAGAGAAATTATACCAGGATTTTTGTAGTTGGATGGTGGAATTTAATGACATTCCTAAAATTTTAATTCTCTGTTTTTTGGCTGTGTTTGGAAAGTATAAAATTTGAAATATCAAAAGAAATATATGCTTACGTGTCATAACATGTTATTAAAGAATAGAATTCATTAAAGCCAGTATTTTTTCCCACATCTCTTTATTGCTTAAAGGTGGGAAAAGTTTTTATCCCTGGCCTGCCAGCCCCTTCCCTGACAGCGTCCCGTGCGGTGCCTCGTCCCAGCACCCCGCTAGACAGCATCAGCACCCCTGAGCCTCTGAGTAAGCTGCTTGGATCCTTGGATGAGGTGAGAAATGAACTGGGTGTTGCCAAAAACTAATAGTTTTTAAAGAAGTTTCATCAGTTGTTAGTTCTCTTCCATGATGAATTTTTTTAATTTTTTAAAAACGACAGAATTGGAAGTTTAGCTAACACTTGTAGAATAGAAATGTTTTCAAATGCAAATTATCCAGTAAACACACACTGACCTCCCGTGTGATGTGTAAGGTACTTTGGGAGGTGCTACAGAGGAGAGAATGAGGCCTCTCCATCTGGTGTGGAACAGATGTAGTATCTACATAGGGAATTATATTTTAAGGGAGACTGTCAAGGCTTCTGAATGATGACCAGAAAGTTCCTGGGATAGTCGCTACTAGGAACATACATCCTGATGGGCCGTCGTGGCCAAATCAAGGGCTCATCTCATTCCCAGGATTATTGGGGAGCTGCTGACCCTGTTTTACAGATGGATACACAGGAGTATAGGGACAGTACTTGTCTGGAGTCCCACAGCTGATAAGTGGAGGAGCTGGGATTTACACTTTACTGATGTGCTCTTCAAAGAAGAAAGGATGAAAAAGTGATTTTTGCTCTGAACACTATCACAGGAGCATTACAGGTTCATGAGGACGAAGTTATGAGTGTTAGTGTCTGTGTTTAAGTTTACCTTGAGGTTGAAGATAGACTGATCAGATCCCAACTGGTGGTGTCTATGTTAATTTCAGAGGTGTAAAAAGAGCCTGAGCCCAGGCAGTGTCCTGAAAAAGAGGGGAGTGTCACGAGAAGCCTGAAGAGGGGGAGGTGACAGCTTTTGGCAGCTAGTTGGATTTGCGCTGTGCTGGGTGAGGTGCTGAGGAATGATGCTCAGGGCTCTCTGAGCCACCTGGGTGCCTGCCTCCCCATGCTTAGCAAGTTAGGGAGAAGCAGTATGTATTTGAGACATCTGATTGTAGGTTCTTAGGGGCAGTTCAGAGTGAATTTGGTGCTGGTACTTGTATTAGGTAACGTCTAGGCCCTGACTTTATTTTTTAAACACACTCAGTGTTGCGCTCTTTCCATCTAAGCCAGATGTTTGCAGCACTGTTGGAGGGGTGCTGAAGTAATGTCAGTTCTGTGTGACTGGGGAGAATTTCTTAAAATGTGAAATGGTTCCCAGCTTTCTTGGAATTATGTCAGCCCAGGAACAGTTGCTGTCTTTAAGGTAGTCATCAAGTCACATCCCAGTCTGACACACTGGACGATGGCGTCGCCACCTCTAGGGGATTATGTAGCCAGACTTAGATCCGGGACCCAGTAGTGGGGGCTTATTTTTTGGCAGCTGTTGGAGTAGAAGCTGGAGTATGATAGACCCACGTGACGCTGTGTCAGCACTCAAAATTGACGAGGTACTCACTCAGACATGTCCTGTGAGTTGAATTACAGGAGTACAGGGAGGTTGGTGGTCAGGACTAGATTTAAAATAGGCAGCATCTGCATGTAATTAGCAACTAAGACCATTTACAATTTCATTTGCATATCTACAATTGAAGAAAAAATGTTCTTCCATTTCCAGAACATTTGCCTGTAGGAGAAGCATCCCAAGGAGTTGTCTTAGTCTTTTGCTTTTTTATCGCCCTTCCTTCTCTCCAGGTCTTGGGACGAACTCTGCCCCATCATGTCTGCCTTGTTTTCCTGTCACTATACAGCTCTGGCCTGTGTGATGGCCGGCGTGGAGCTGCCTTCCTCACGCTCTCAGTCTGGCTCCATTCCCCATCATCGTACCTAGAGCAGCATGAGAGTAAATCATATGTACAGTTGGTAGATTATATGCAAAAAAAGAATAATGTTTTCTCCTTCATTTCTCAAAACTCCTTCATGTGTGTTGTATTTGTGACTTTTTGTAGGCTGTTCTGTTGTCCCCAGTTCCAGAACTAAGAGATTCTTCGAAACTCCATGATTCTCTCTATAATGAGGATTGCACCTTCCAGCAGCTTGGGACTTATATCCACTCTGTTAGAGACCCCGTCCGTAATAGAGTGACTCTCGTAAGTGCATTTGCTTTTCATTAGAGAGAAAAGGTAACTTTCTAAGAAATATGATTGTCATTTCAAAATTGTGAGAATGCAGAATTTTGTCTGAAAAATGAAAGTGAACATTTCCCATGACTTCTAAAATTTCTTGTAGTGTGTCAATATTTGCACTATTTGTCTTAGACATAAATTTGCTTAACTTTTTTTTAAAGTTACTATATTATTAAAAATTTATTGAAAACAAAGCTTGTTTAATCAGTTGAATTTTCTGTTGACACGATTTTTATCTTTTCATTAAATGTTAGTGTCCTTTTTTGGTTATGGTGACTCGTATGAAAATTAGACACTTTATTAGAAACAAGAATTTTTGTAAATATGCACATTTGCAGTTTCTGAAATTTGGATGTATTCAGTTTTTTTCTAAAAGTATTGTTTTGATTTATTTTAGAGTTTTGCTTTGATAGGAAAGCCATGTTGTAAAGCATCGGCTGCTTTTAAAGCACCCAGAGACTTAGATGCGCGGATCGCTTACGAGCTCTCTGTTTCCTTCTCCTAGGAGCTGAGTAACGGCACCATGGTTAGGATCACTCTTCCTGAAATTGCCACCTCTGAATTAGGTATGGTTGAGCAGACCTTACTTTGTGTGATCTATGAGTTAAGCTTTAGTCATTGCTGATTTATCTTAGTAATTGGGGTTTTAAAAACTTTGCTGTTTTTGAAGCAATGGGATGGAGTTTTTCACTTTGCAGAGAGGCTATAAAGAGCCGGGGAGCATTCTACAATGTCCCCACCACGTGTACTGCAGTTAAGGCTGGATGTGCACTTGACAGATGTGCTAGTTCTGCTTCTTTGGTTTGTCTTATGTTGAAGGTGCCATGCAGTGAGGTTGCAGCATGTGGACATGCCTGTTCCAGGCAAATCTGAGAAACAAAGACATCTACGCAGCTAAAACAGTTTTGGCTATTTGATGGTTTTAATCTTAAAATAAATCTCAATTGTTAGATCAATTGAGAAATGTACATAGTTGCCTTAATTGAATAAAAATATGATAGTAAAAATACAATCGGAACTGTTTTAATAAAGTTGGAGCCTGCTTGAATTGTTATTGAAATCAATTTGGAAAATATTAGGTGGAGAATATTTCAGAACGGAGAATAGTAAAGAAAACTAGAATTGAAAGGATTTGCCAATAAATAGCAGTTAAGAAAAGAATACCTGTATGATGTAAGAACATGTGTGACAACAATTAGTTTCAAAATCTAACTGCCAAAGTAAAGCCCTGGCAGATGGTGCGATTTCTGGAATTTGGTAAGTAGATTAGAATGAGTTTTGCATTGTAGGAAATAATCTTTTATTGGTAGGGTAAACAATATTGAGTTTGTGTAGAGAGACCTTGCTTTTCTGCTTGGTATTTAGCCAGTAATGGCAAAGCTGTGTACCTAGAAGTATAAGCCTAAACAAAGCATGTAAAACAATTAACAGATTAAATGAAAGAAATAAAACCAAAATGAAATCCTATTCTCTGACAGCCAATTGGAAGTCAGGTGGTTCAGGCATGTAAGTTTTTGTGCTTTATTCATGAAGTGCTCTCAGCTCTCAGGCAGTATCTGGCTTACACTTTTTTTGGATGAAGCCAGGACAGACTTGTTTATTTGGTTTTCTGACATTTATTCCATGTGATTCCAGTCTTTGCTGTATGTGCACATGTAGCAAGTGGATGAGAGAAGAGATATCCAACCGAGGATGGGCCTGGGGATAGTGACAGTGGGAAGGGAGAAGAATCCAATAAGAGGAGTGGAGGAGAATATTTGGAAAATAGGAAACGCATGTATGTAAAGTGACTAGGAGCAGACTTGGGCTTTTCCCAGCAGCAGCCTTCACCGCTGCTGGGGGTGAAGGGTTGCACTATAATTGACACTCGTGCCAACGACACCAGGTCATTAAGAGGCACGTAATAATGACTGGTCTGTTTAAGATGGAGCCTGGAAAGCGTTTCAGACACTGCATGCTGGCAAGTGACTAGGAGTGGTAAGGCTTCTTCAGTTGACAGGCATGCTTGCTCACATGGACATCGCCCACGCTCCCCGAGGGTGCCCATGAGCTGTGATGTAGGTGCTGAAATGCTTAAGTGGGATTTCATGTGAATCTACTCAGGTAGAAATTGTGTGTTTGGTAGAATGACCTTTAATTTACTGTCCAAACTAGGAATATTCGTACTGTTATGGGGAGATATTAATGGCTGGGACAGTGGCTGTTAGTCTCATTCTATCTCAGATGAAGTGAAGTATTTAGTCACCTTATTTCTGATCTGAAAGTGATGACTGAAGAGCTGCCCTGAGACCTGTGAACGCTGTGGCCTCCGGCAGTCGTGTTGAGCCCCAGTGAAGGGCTGGGTAGCGTGGCGTCCCATTGGTTCTTTAGTAGCAGTCCTCCTTTCACAGTAGTTTAAAAACTTTCGTAAGGGGAAGAGAAGTGTTTGCCTGGGAAGCATACTAAAATCAATCTTTGCTTTTTACAGTACAAACATGTTTGCAAGCCATTAAATTTATCCTGCCGAAAGAAATAGCTGTTCAGATGCTCGTCAAGTGGTACAGTGTCCACAGCGCTCCGGGCAGCCCCAGCTATCACTCAGAGTGGAATTTATTTGTGATTTGTCTCATGAACATGATGGGTTATAACACAGACCGCTTAGCGTGGACAAGAAATGTAAGTATGGACAGTTGTTTTTCTTCCTGAGTCATTCTGTTGTTATCAGTGTAATGTTTGCATATGGGTAATACAGCGTTCAGAGTGTAGAGCAGATCAGTTTACTAATGGACGTACCTGAGTCACCCTTATTGTATGTGTATGTTGCAAATCAAATGTCTGTTAATATCTAAGAATATTTTTTTAGTAATTATAATTACTGTATTTTTATAACGTGGCAAAGCACATTTGACTGTTATTTTTTATTTGATCTTTGTAAAATGACTGCTAGTCATGCTAGGATTAGCAGAAATAGAGGAAGAAACAGAATCACACAGAGTCACAGACTGCAGATTTGCTCAAAACCAGGCCTAGACTGCAACTCTTGAAACCTGGCTCAGTGCTCTTTCCTGAGCTCCAATCTCTGCGCACACACTGCTTGGTCTATCGGGGGAGGTTTGATCTGAGGACAGAGCGTGCTTTAGCCTGAGTCTCCACTCTGTTGTGATGAGAGCTGTGTCCCCCACAGCTTCAGGCACTGTCTCACAGGCCCTTAACTGTCAGATGTAGAGCATCAGTGGGAGTGTGCCTTCCTGGCGGTGGTCTCCAGACACTGGAGATCACTGCCAGGACACCTTGGCCTGGGTCACTGCAAGATTCACTCCTTTGTCCAAGGAATGCAACTGTATTTGTCTATGCAGTTTAGGTTTGACTCAGCAAATTCATTTTAAAAACTATATGTTTTTCTTCACGATAGAAGAATATATGCTTACTGAGGAACATGTTGAAAATGGAGGAATTCAAAAGAGGAAAATAGTAGTGCTTAGAGTTGACCACTCTAAACCTTTTCGGTATTGCCTCTTAGATACACACCATATCAGTGGAACTTTCCAGTATCCGTAGAAATTCTTCAAATAAAACCCCTCATTTCATCATTCCCAGAAAAGGCTACCGTGTGGTGTTATCACTAACCAATAGCTAATAATTGAACATTGTTGAATCCATTCTTTTTTCTTACTGAGATTAATTTGCAAACGTTCTTTTACACAAGTCTTTATATCTCTAGTCATTTCCCAGGCGTTCGGAGGGCTATCTAGTCAACAGTCTCACTGGCCCCGTTCCACCATGTTGGTGGTTGGGGTTGTGGTGAACCATTGCCAACTTAGTGAGAGATTTTACTGTTTCCGTGTAAGTAAATGGGAATGGTTTTTCCACAATCTCATTGGTCATTTATAGTTGTTATTTTTCAACTTGCCTTCCATGTTCTTGCCTATGTTTTAGTCTCTTCTCAGCCCAGCAGCCAAAATAACCTTGTTGGATAAAGTCAGGTCATATTAGTCATTTCTGCTCAGGACCCTCCAGTGCCTTCCCAGCCTGCTCTGAGTAAAGGCCAGAGGCCTTGGTCATTTTCACATGTCATCTCAGAGCAGCCTGCCCTGTCCATTCTGTGTAAAAGCGTCCCCCATACTTTTTAGCCCCTTCACCTGTTTTATTTTTCTCTTAGCACTAAATTAATTATAGTAGGCTACACATTTTACTCACTCGTTTCGTCTGTGTCTCCCCTATGCCCATTGGGGTGTCAGTCCTATGTGGAAGGGGTGTGGGTGCAGGACCCCCAGCCAGTGCCTGGCGCTGGGGATGCTTGGTGGAAGTCTGTAGGATGAACACCCGTAGGATGAATGCCCTTTCCATCGGAATGAGATGCGTTTAAGAGTTCGTGTCTGTTGTAGTGTATGAAAGAGTTGCCCTCTGTAGTTTCCTTGAGAAAAATCAAGTTCACTCCAGCTTTTGTAGTTTTGTGTGTGACTGTTATATAAGACTCGATGATGAGTGCAGGTCATTGTGCCCCATTCTCTGGGCTGCAGCCAGTGCCCCCTCATGCTTCCATGACATGGGAGGACAGAGCACTCACCTGATTTCTTTCGTAAGGAAGGGTGTGGCAGTCTGACTTGTTTATTGTGTGACAGTCCTAAAGGATAGCTCCAGAGGGACTTGGTTTTGAGGCCAGGCAGGTCTCTTGGACATTTATTTATAGGATGCCACAGCTAAGCCCTTGCTGTCTCTTGTCCTTTTAATCAAAGCTCTGGATGGAGCAGTCCTCGCTGTCAGATTGTTTTTGTGTCATTTTGTCCAGATTTATCCTCTTTTTTGTTCTCATTTAAATAATGGGGTGGAGAGTAGGGATAACAGCATTTCTGCCAATGACTGCTTTTGTGAGTTTGGGCCTTCTGTAGTTTAGTGGTGTGTTAAATGGGAGCTCTGGACCTGGTGACGATTCTCTCTGGCTCTCACATTCTGTGTGTGATTGTGTCTGTGGGCATCTCGTGTCCTTGGGGATGCTGATATTTTCATTAGGTGGATACTGAGCCCTGCTGTGGGCCAGGTATGATGCCGGGTTGTTCATATATGCATTAGGCAAGGCAGACAGCTCCTCTCATGGGATCGACTGTCACAGGAGGGCAGGTGAGTCAGCGTTCAAAGGCAGGTGGACTGAGGGCAGGCATCCACAGGAGCATAGAGAAGAGGGGATGACCTGCAAATGTTAAAGTAATGAGAACAAAGCAGGTCCATATGTGCCACAAAGAGATATCTGCATCTGATAGTTTCTGCTGTTCTTTGCCGTAACTCCAGGGCTGAAGACTCTGGGGACATTAGCAGGGACATTCTTTCTGGCTGTGAGACTTAGACTTTGTGTGTACTGTATTTTGAAATTTTAGGTAAGATCGCTCAGGCCATCTGTTGATTTTACTGTTGTCATTTTTGTGTTTTGATAATTTGTATGAGTTGAGCTGTGTTTTCTTTGAATGCTTCAGAAGAAAACCATTTTTCTTGATCAATTTTAAAAATTCATTCAGTTTTATATCTAAATATTCCGTTTAAAAAATTACTTCATTGTTATCTATGTTTAGTTTTTATATAGAAATAAACTTTCAGGAGAATGAAATTAATTGATAAATAAATATATGTAAACTTTTGTACAGCATAGCAAGATAGCCATTGCCATTTATAGAAAGAATTATGGTTGATTAGTTGACAGTGAGAAGTAGCAGAGGTGGCACAGATTGTATCAGAGAGAATTTCTGGAGATGGCTTCTTTGTAACTTTATTAGTTAGGAAGGCTGACTATTGTAACAGAAAGTCCTCAAAAGATCTAATGGCTCACACATGATAAAAACATGTGTCTTGCTCATTTGGTAGTACTTAGCAGGTAAACAGACCACACGGTTATTAGGGACCAAAACTGAGGAGCATCTGCCGCTTCCACCTGAGGCTTCACAGACTGCCTTTAGTGTCGGCTTCGTCTGGTGAGGGGCAAGGGAAGGGTGCCCGGAGGGACATGTTTGGGAGGTTGTACCTGTGAGCTAGGCCTGGAAGTACTGACATCTACTTTCAGAGTCATGCTGTCACAGGCCACATCTGACTCTGAAGGAGGTAGGGCTATGTCCACTAGCTATGTGTCAAGAAGAGAGAAGAGAACATAGATTCTGGAGAGCAGCTACCAGGTCTCTGCCACAGAATTGCCAGACTGTCAAATGTGGACAGACTCTAGATGATGTTCGCTTCCTTCTGTCATTGGGCCACCCTTGGGTAGATTCTTTGAGACACAGCGTATTGGATATGACTCATGGTCCTTGACTTTCTAAAGGACTGAAGATCGTTGTCATCACAGACATAGGGGAGGAGAGGACACCCCTGCGGTGCCTGTGTACCCAGGCAGTGAGTGTTCCAGGTGCTTTATGTGCATGATCTCATTTAACCTTCACCACGACACTAGAAGAAAAGTATTCGTTCACGTTCTTCCAGGGGACAAAATGAGTTTTGATCACTTTCCTCAGTTTCCATCATTGGTGGGACTGATTTCTGGATTCTTTAATGATGAGCTGATATGATTTTGTCTTCTCTTTCGGGTTATTTTCCAGTTTGACTTTGAAGGATCACTTTCTCCAGTCATCGCACCCAAAAAGGCAAGGCCTTCTGAGACAGGATCTGATGAGGTAAGCATCATTATTTCTTACTGTTGTAAATTGACTTGTAAATACAGTCGCTAGTCTCCCATTTCCCTGGTGTCCCTACTGATTTGTGTGTACAGGCACACTCTGTCTTACTGCGCCTCACAGATGCTGTGTTTTTTTAAGAATTGAAGGTTTGTGACAACCCTGCATCGAGCACGTCTGTCGGTGCTATTTTTCCAACAGCATTTGCTCACTTTGTGTCTCTGTGTCACCTTTTGGTAAATTTTGCAATATTTTACCCTTTTTCATTATTACTGTGGTGTTACGCTCATCTGTGGTCAGTCATCTTTGATGTGACTGCTGTGATATTTTTTGAGGTGCCATGAACCGCACCCGTATAAGATGGCAACCTTAATGGACAAAAACGGGTGTGTTCTCACTGCCCCCAACCCTGACTCCATGTTTTCAAATGGGTTTTAAAGGTGGCTTGTCTTAATATTTATCACTGGTGTCCAGATTTGCTTAGCTATTTTATGTTCTTATTTTTCAGCATTATGATTTTTCATATTCTTAGATATAACTAATATGAAAATGGAACTTGAATTGTTTTGAGTGAATGTGGTTTTCTTTTTGAATGACATTACAAGGAGGCATTGTTTAAACTTAATGTCCTTTCTCTTTCTCAGGACTGGGAGTATTTGCTAAATTCAGACTATCACCAGAGTGCCGAGTCTCACCTTCTGAGCAGGTCTCTCTGTCTGAGTCCTTTGGAGGCTCCTCAGGTGAAAGGCGAGGACTCATCACAGAGCCTCAGTCTGGACTCCTCCACACTTCTCTTCTCCCACATGCCTGCAGTGTTTTTTGTTCTTCACCTTGTCTATGAGGAGCTCAAGCTGAACACTCTGATGGGAGAAGGAAGTCGCTCACTTGTTGACCTGCTCGTTCAGTTGGCAAGGTAAATACTGTTTGTGGAGTGGAAACTTCCAGGAGTCTGTGGTTTACTTGATCTTGGCCGTGAATATCATGTTGGAGCCCTGAAAATGCATTTCTGAAGCTGGCCTTCTCAGAAACCCAGCCCGTCTGTAAATCATGGGGCTCTTCAATGATGGTGGCTATAAAGGACCTGTGGGTCGTGTTGGAGTTGCCAGTTTTGTCCTAAGATCAGTGGCAAGTCACGGAAGTGTGGTGAACAGTGGGGATGACCTGCTGAGCGTTTAATGTTGGCAAGATGACTGGCTAGTGGTGGAGGTTCTAGAACAATACCTGATGCTCTGTAATAATACCTGCATCCAGATAGTGCCTGCCATTCACAGAGTCCCAGTTTGCCTACATAAATTGTCAAACCAAGTAGAGATCACGTCCCCATTTAGTGATGAGAGCTGCCCAAGTGTGTTTCCAAGGACACAAGTGTTGTGGGCTAGTTGTGGGCTCTGCTGTGCTTTGTCATCACCATCTGTGGCCATCGCTGCCTTTCAGGCTCGTAGTAGATTCACAGTAATATTGTCCTAGTAATGCAGAGCCTTGCCGGCACCTTGTGGTTGGCACTGAATTCTAAAGATCACACATAGATGTTGTTTGTGACCCTTGGTGATAAAGAAAGTTGAATTTGAATCAGAATGACAACCTCTGAGTTAAGATCATAGCGTATTTCTTGATTTCTGTGATCTTTCTTGAAATTCTGTTCTGAGACATGTCGGTTTTAATTGATGGTCAATTTCTCTTATGACAAATCATTACTATCACAGAAATCCTTTTGTAATGCAATGATTTCCACACTTGAATTGTGGCTCTTGGAAATAAGCAACACTTGTATAATATTTTACATTTTATAAGGTATTTTTCATATATATTATCTAATTAAACTTAAAACTTCAGAGTGAGTTAACTGTGTTTCCCCATTTTTAGAAGAAAATTACTGAGGTTCGTGGAGATGACTTGCTGTAGATCACAGGGCTGATAAGTAACGAGGAGAATCCAGGCCATGGTGTTTCCTCAGTGGTTTTGTGTCTGCAGTTTGTCTCGCTAAGGGTGTTTGGGTTGACTTGTCATGTCGAGCCTTTAAAGTCCAGTAAGTGTTTTCAAATTGAAAAAAAAAGTTTGGCTGACAAACCCTTCTAACTCTGGCATTTGGGGGAATTGCTGTAATATCTCCCTGTCATCTCTGTATTTTGTGCTCTTATTGTTTTAGAGACTTAAAATTGGAGCCTTACTTAGATCATTACTATAGAGATTACCCGACGCTTGTCAGAACTACTGGACAAGTGTGCACAGTTGATCCAGGTAAGCATTTGTGCCATTAAAGATTTTCTGAACATTGTGGTGACATTTGCTTGTATTTTTCTTAGTATTAGCCTCTGAGTTGGGCAGTGTCTTTCCATCAGGCAGATTTTAGTTTGTGCTTGGTCTCTGACATGCAGTAAGCCGTAACTTCCTCAGTGTGGGGGGAAAATGCTCCCCCTCCCTAAG